CACACACACTCACACTCTCTCTCTCTCACACACACACGCACACTCACTTTCTCTCTCACACGCACACACTCTCTCTCTCACTCACTCACTCTCGCACTCACTCACTCTCGCACACACGCACACTCTCTCACACACACTCACTCACTCACTCACACACATGCACTCTCACTCTCTCACTCACTCACTCACACACACACTCTCTCTCTCACTCACTCACTCTCGCACTCACTCACTCTCGCACACACGCACACTCTCTCACACACACACACACTCACTCTCTCTCACACACACACACTCACTTACTCACTCACTCTCACACACACACACTCATACACACTCACTGACTCTGGTCTCCTGTCTACAGGGCGTCAGCGCCATCCGTCTGTTCCCGGTGTCTGCTCATCTCCTGCTCTCCTGCTCCATGGACTGTAAGATCAAGGTGAGATCTTCAGCTCAAACACTCAGCTTGCCGCTCAGAGAAGTTTGCACTTATTACAGTGTTACACTTGTTATGACCTGTTACGTAAAACTGTTCTTCGTCTAAGACGGTTTAAAAATGTTTTTTTCTAATTCTTAAATAATAAGAATAGTCTATATGTGTCCCTGGAGCACAAAACTAGTCATAAGGGTCAATTTTTCAAAATTGAGATTTATGCATCATCTGAAAGCTGAATAAATAAGCTTTCTATTGATGTGAGATACAACTATTTGAAAATCTGGTATCTGAGGGTGCAAAAAATGTACAAAATATCTTCATGGAACATGATCTTTACTTAATATCCGAATGATTTTTGTCATAAAAGAGAAATGTATAATTGTGACCCATACAATGTATTGTTGGCTATTGCTACACATATCCCCCAGCGACTCAACACTGCTTTTGTGCTGCAGGGACACATATAATAGTCTGTTCATCTAATAATATAATAGTTGTAATAATAATAATAATAATGATCATTCTTATTTTACAAGCATTTAATGCAATCTGTTGGTAAAACAAAAGTAATTTATTATTGTATTGTGCTGTTGTTGTTATTGTTAATAATCTATTAATGTAATAAACAATGGAAATAATAATAATTATTATTATTATGAAAGCATTTAATACAGTCTGTTAGAATGAAACAAAATAGTCATATTTATTATTATTATTATTATTGTACTGTTGTTGTTATTGTTAATAACTATTAATGTAATAAAATTAATAATAATACAAGAACTTATACAGACTGTTAGAATAAAACAAAAAGCTAATTATTATTGTTGTTAATATTATGACGATAATGCAAAAATAGGATAATATAAAATATCTTTAGATTAATGTAATATTATTAATATAATTAATATGAATGTAATATATTCATATAATTAAAAAAATAAATGAAAAATTAATGTATAAAGTTAGAATAAAACAAAATCATGATGATGATGATGATAGTAATAGTAGTAATAATAATTATTATTGTGCAAAAATACAGTGATTTAAAACAGTCTGCTAGAATAATAAAATATTAATATGATTAATATGAATATAATAATTATTTTACAAAAATACAATAATTTAAACCAGTCTGCTAGAATAATAAAAGATTAATATGAATATAATAATTATTATACAAAAATACAATAATTTAAAACAGTCTGTTAGAGTAAAACATTATTATAACAATTATTAATGTCACTATTGTAGTTGTTGATATTCTGTTTTACTCTGACTTTTAAACATTTGTCTAATTCTTTCTAATTATTATGTAATATTAATAATAACAATATGCAAACAGGTTTTATGACCAGTTACAGCATTTGAAAGATACTTTTCTTTCATATGCATTTGAAGAGTGTATGTCCATGTTGTTTGACAGCTACCTGTCTGTGTATCAGTATGTGCTGATGTTGTTTTTGTCTTCTCTTGTAGTTGTGGGAGGTTTATAATGACAGGAGATGTGCGCGGACGTTTATTGGTGAGTCTTGTCATTTTTCTGTGCCCTGGTCTGGTTTAGTCGGAGACGAAGAGTCACACACAGTTCATTACAGACTAGAACTGGGTTTTGACACAAATTTCACGATTCGATTCTCATTCACAAGCTTGTGATTCGATTCAGTATCGATTATTTTGGATATATATCAGGTACAGTACATGCCAAATTTTCTCAAGGAAAAAATATCTCTCAACTAATGCTGTAAAATATACTGTACATGAGTCAGTTGGTACTATAATGCTGAAGATTACAATTGACTGATTTGTTAAAATTACACTTTAATGAAGTTACAATTACATAATAATATTTCTACTTCAATTCGTTTTTTTTTAAATATAAACATAATGGTGGCTGTCATAAAACTTGATGGATTTATTCAAACATAAATTAAACATTGAAGAACAGTAAAATTTATAATGAATTTTATATTGTGCATATATTTAGCAAAATGCCCCTCTCTACAGTTTATTTTTCTAGCTGACTAATGAGTTTATGGTCATCGAATATGTTTTTTATGAGGTAAATGTTACGTGACATTGTTTACAAGCCGTTATTTTGGCGTCTTTGCGCGGCTGAAACACGGATTGAGCGATTACATGAGACAGGATGCAGATTGTAAAGTTGTACTCTTTCTTTTAACTTGCCTTCGGATGTTTAGTCATGTTTATTTTGTGCTATAACTAGTAATAAAGTGGAGGTGATGCCTCAGCGATCTGTCACTTCCACATTAAACAGCGCCAAAACGGCATTTATTGTTTGAATACTGCAATACAATGGACATAAATTGAAATCTTGAGACTTTTTCATATTTAAAGTACCAAAGCACAATACTTATTGTGATTTATTGCATGGGAAGTGCCCTTCAATGTTCCGTCCATTAACTGAAAACAGGCTAGATTCATCGATTCTTGGGATTTAAGAATCGATATCGTTCCGTAAAAATGAGAATCGATTAATATCGAGATATCGATATTTTTTACCCAGCCCTATTACAGACGCTCTCTGTCTGAGTGATGTGCTTGAATGACTCTGAGAGAGATGCGAGTGATGATTCTCCTGCGTTTCGTCAGGAGACACACAGGAGAAGAGCTGAACGAGATTCACGAGACGTCAGAGCTCAGTATCTCAGTCATGTTTCATTCATTCAGCTTCATTAGACCATCGTGAAACTGAGACTGAAAACACGGTGTTCTGGACTCAATCATGTGTTTTTATGCCTACATCTATGAACCTGAATGCGATCTAAATGGGGGGAAAATTATAAAAAAATAAAAATTAAATTAAATTAAAACCAGGCTGTTAGAATAATATAATAATATTATGCAATCTAAAATAGTATAATAATTTTAATAATTTGTTGTTATTATTATTATTATGCAGAAATACAAGAAACAGTCTTTAGAGCAATATAGTATTATATAATCTAAAACCGAATAATAATTAGTATTATTATTATAGTAATTATCATGCAAAAATACAAGAATGTAAAATAGTCTGTTAGATCATTATTATTATAATTATGTGATCTAAAATAGCAAAATAATATGTAATATGTAAATAATGTTTTTATTGTATATTTGATCAAATAAATGCAGCTTTAGTGAGCATAAGAGAATTCTTTTTCAAAAGCATTGAGAGAATCCTTTGAAGATGAGTGTGGATGCGGATCTGACTGATGTCTGGTGTCTCTGTAGGTCACAGTAAAGCCGTGCGTGACGTTTGCTTCAACAACACTGGCACACAGTTCCTGAGCGCCGCCTACGACAGATATCTCAAACTCTGGGACTCAGAGACGGGTGAGAGTTTAACACAAACACACAACAACAGATCCCAGATGGATTCAGCCTTTTATATGTGTCCCTGCAGCACAAAAGCAGTGTTAAGTCGCTGGGGGATATTTGTAGCAATAGCCAACAATACATTGTATGGGTCACAATTATACATTTCTCTTTTATGCCAAAAATCATTAGGATATTAAGTAAAGACCATGTTCCATGAAGATATTTTGTAAATTTCCTACCGTAAATATATCGAAACTTAATTTTTGATTAGTAATATGCATTGCTAAGAACTTTAATTTGAACAACTTTAAAGATGATTTTCAAAGAGTGTGAGATTTTTTAAAGATGCACCCTCAGATTCCAGATTTTCAAATAGTTGTATCTCGGCAAAATATTGTCCTATTCAGGTCAGTGCATCGCCCGCTTCACCAACAGGAAGGTTCCCTACTGCGTGAAGTTCAACCCGGATGAGGACAAACAGAGCCTGTTTGTTGCTGGGATGTCGGACAAGAAGATCGTCCAGGTACCAAACCGAGAGCCGAGTGTCAGTGTCTACGTTTACATGTGCACGCGTAATGCGATTATTTGCAATAATCAGAGTAAGGACTTAAAGGGATACTCCACCCCAAAATCTAAATTTTGTCATTAATCACTTTACCCCCATGTCGTTCCAAACCCGTAAAAGCTTCGTTCTTCTTCGGAACACAATTTAAGATATTTTGGATGAAAACCGGGAGGCTTGTGACTGTCCCATTGACTGCCAAGTAAATTACACTGTCAAGCTCCAGAAAAGTATGAAAAGCATCGTCAGAATAGTCCATCTGCCATCAGTGGTTCAACCGTAACGTTATGAAGCGACGAGAATACTTTTTGTATACCGGAAGAAGAACGAAGCTTTTACAGGTTTGGAACGACATGGCGGTAAGTTATTAATGACAATTTTCATTTTGGGGTGGAGTATCCCTTTAATTGCATTATGTTGTTTACTTGTCAAGAGCAAAGCTCTTCACTCCCGTTAACATGCAATTAAAAAGAACAGCATTTATTCAAAATATAAATCTTTGCTATCACTTCTTATCAATTTAACATCCTTGCTGAATAAAAGTTTTAAGGGGGTCATATGATGATAGAACATTATTTTGTGTATTTGGTGTAATGAAATGTGTTTATGCGGTTTAAGGTTCAAAATTTTTTTTAATCTGATTTTTGAGGTGAAAAGTGATCCGTTCATTTTAGTTTAATTCTTTGCTGATACTTTTCAACAGGTTAGAAAAATGAAAATGGAAATAACTCAACATCAGCATTATTATAGTTAACTAAAACTTAAATTAAAACCATTAAAAACATTTGTTGCTTGAAATAAAATAAATGTTAACTGAAAAAAATTAAATTTCTATAATGACTATAATAACTTTTTCAGCTAATTGCAAAGGCAACATTTTTCATTTTCATTTAGTTTACCTTGTTATACTAAAATAACTGAAATAAAAATTAATAAAATATATATATATACTAATAAACATGACAGATTTCTTAAAATGTAAAAATCAAAATGAAAAGTATAAAAATTATTCATTATATTAATAAAAACTATAATAGTATCTCGGTTATATTAAAATAACACTGATCAACTTTTGTTCTGAAATAATTTTTTTATTACTTAAACCAATTCATTTAATTGAAAAACAAAAGTTTTAATCAACTAATCACACTTATTTAATAATCCACACTCAAAAACGGCGTTACATATAAACATTTAAATTGCACTTCAGGCAGATTTTCAATGAACTGGTTAATGAAATAATTATTTCTACTCCAGCTTTAATAACTTGTTTTCATGACCGATTTATGCATATATACTACCAGTCAAAAGTTTTTGAACAGTAAGATATTTAATGTTTTTTAAAGAAGTCTCTTCTGCTCACCAAGCCTGCATTTATTTGATCCAAAATACTGCAAAAGCAGTAATATTGTGAAATACTTTTACTATTTAAAATAACTGTGTTCTATGTGAATATCTGTTAAACTGTACAGTATTTCTGTGATGCGCAGCTGTATTTTCAGCATCATTCCTCCAGTCTTCAGTGTCACATGATCTTCAGAAATCAGTATAATATGCTGATCTGCTGCTCAAGAAGCATTATTATTATTTACGAGAATTCTGTAAAAAACATTAAAAACGGACTGTTAGTGTATACTCAAAATATTGAAGAACAGGTTAAGTAAGAATATAATGAATATGTAATATAGTGATATATTTAGCTTGTCTCTAGAGTTCATTTTTCTAGCTAACTATCGAGTTTATGGTCATTAAATGACTTTTCTGAGCTAAATGTGACATTATTGGTCACAAATGGTTTTATTGACGTCTTTACTCCACATTTACTGTTTATATTGTTATAAACTGACACAATTTTGCATAACATATCAAAAGGAACAGCACAAACATATCAAAAGGAACAGCACAAAGCTTCTTACATTTATATTTAGTCATTTAGCAGATGCTTTTATCCAAAGGGGCTTACAAATTAGTAAAGCTTTATTTATATAGCATGTTTTAAAGCGGTGTTTACAAAGTGCTTTACAGGATAGACAATTTACAATGCACAATAACAAACATAAATTTTTTTTTAACACATAATAGAAATAAAATGAGTCAAGGAAAGGCCCTAGTGAACAAATGCGTTTTGAGATACTTTTTAAAAGTGCACAGTGAGTCGATGGCTCGTAGGTTGGGACCGAAAATAACTAAAGGCTGACTCACCAATTTTTAGCCGAGTCTTAGGTACAACCAACAAATTACTGTGTGATGTTCGGAGCGATCTTGCTGGAGTATATTTATTTAACAAATTAGAAAGGTATATAGGGGCCAGTTCCATGAAGACCTTTTTTAAAAACTAATAAGAGGATCTTAAATTCAATTCTGAACGATACAGGCAGCCAGTGAAGGGATCTGAGTGTTGGAGTAATGTGATTTCTAATTTTAGAGCGAGTTAGCGTTCGTGCAGCTGCATTCTGAACTCTTTGTAGGTGTTTAATAGAGCTCTTTGGTAACCCAGCAAAAACACTGTTGCAGTAGTCAAGTCTAGACGTAACAAATGCATGAACAAGTTTCTCACTGTCAGAAGGGGAGAGAATGTCACGTGCTTTGGAGTTGTTTCTGAGGTGATAATATGCTGTTTTAGTAACAATGCTAATATGTTTTTTAAAACTGAGGTGGCTATCAAATATAATTCCTAAGTTCTTGGCCTGATTACTGGCTTTTAGTGATAGAGAGTCAAGATGTGGAGCAATAGATCCTCTCCGCACGTCATTACCGATAACAAGTATCTCTGTCTTATCTTTGTTTAGCTGTTAAAAATTTTCTGGGACATCCACAATTTTATGCAGTCAAGTAGTGTGGAAATTGAATTATGGGCATCTGGTGCAAGTGAAAGATAGAGTTGCATGTCATCTGCATACTGGTGAAATGAAATATTGTACTGGTTAATTACACCAGCTAGGAAGGAAGCATGTATAGGTTAAATAATAGAGGACCCAAAATCGAGCCTTGAGGAACACCGCAAGAAATGGCGTAACGCCTGGAGGTGTAGGTACCCAGTGTAACACAGTATTCCATGTTGCTTAAGTAGGATCTGAACCAGTCTAAGACAGGACCTGATAGACCGACCTAGGTCTGAAGTCGTTCGAGTAGAATCTCATGATTAATGGTGTTAAAAGCAGCACTCGGATCTAAAAGAACAAGGATTGCCAAGTTTCCTAAGTCCCGAATAACGTGCAAATCGTTTAAGACCCTAATCAAAGCTGAGGACAATAGAAGCAATCAAAATCAACAAAAGAGCAATAATATGCAAGTGCTATGACAAGTCTCAGTTAGCCCAACTCAGTACACATAGCAAGGTGGTTTATATAGATAGATAGAATAGAGAAGGCTAATGTTAGAGGCCTTTTTTTAAAGAAAACAAGCAGTTAGAAAACGAATAGAGAGTGCAAGTGTTGTTCTTGTGATTATTGGATAGTAAACGTGATGTTTAGTGACATTTTGTTCATGAATCAACTGAAAACTCGATCTCGTTTCATCAGAATGAAGATCCATTAAAATGAGAAATCAATATTAATGTCATTGTTTCAGTGATTTCGGCCCTCCAAACCAAATATTGAGGTTGCTGAATCTCCAGTTTCCTCCGCAGGTTTTTGAGGTTATCTGAGCCGTGCTTTGCTCTGGTTCTCGTGTCCGGTGAGTTATTCTGGGCCCGTCTGTGCTCTCGAGGGATTGTTCTGGTCCCGTATCTTGTGCGATGCCTCAGGTGTCGCTGTTCTGCTCCAGTTTGGAGGCGTTTGCTCTGTCGTAGATGGATTACAAACCTCACACATAAAAGAGAGTGAGATAACGGATTAGAAACAAGAATCGCTGTGCTTCTGAGTGTTTAGTGCAGATCTTCAGCTGACGAATGCTGGAGATTATACTGTATGTAGATATATTACACTCTTACAGTCTGTAATGGAGGAAAACGGTTTATTTTCGATGTATTTGTGGTTAAAGAAACACCCGAGTCAAAAGTAAAAATACACACACTTGCAGTGTGTGAAAATATCTGTTTTCACCAAGGCGAAAAAACCACAGTAAAACAAAATAATTTAAGTGCAAATATTTAAATGTACATTAAAAAATAATAATTTAAACTTGGGGGGGGGAGCTGAATCACAATTCTAAAAATCTTATTTTATTATTTTGTAAATAAATAAATAATATTAAATATTCTATGTATCTTTAAAAAATGTAAATTGTTTTCTTATTAATATAGTGTATATGTACAGTTGTGCTCAAAATGATTAATACCCTTGGTAAATATGATCAAAGAAGGCTGTGAAAATTAATCTAATAAATAAATAATATTAAATATTCTATGTATCTTTAAAAAATGTAAATTTTCTTATTAATATAGTGTATATGTACAGTTGTGCTCAAAATGATTAATACCCTTGGTAAATATGATCAAAGAAGGCTGTGAAAATTAATCTGTCAACAGTCCTTTAGATATTTTATTTAAAAAAATGACTAAAATCTAACCTTTCATTGGAGAATAAGAATTTAAAATGGGAGCGAAATCTCATTATGAAATAAATGTTTTTCTCTAATACACATTGGTCAGAATTAATCATACCCTTTTATCCAATACTTTTTGCAACCTCCTTTTGCCAAGAGAACAGCTCTGAGTTTTCTCCTATAATGCCTGAAGAGTTTAGAGAACATCTGACAGGAGATCAGAGACCATTCCTTCATCCAGAATCACTCCAGCTCTGATTTTGATGTTTGTTTGTGGATCATTGTCTTGTTGGAAGATCCAACCATGGCCCATTATAAGATTTCTAGCATGGACAGTCAGTTCTTAATTTTTTTTATCCATTGGTATTTTATAGAATCCATTATGCCATCTATCTGAACAAGATATCCAGGATCTCCGGCAGAGAAATAGGCCCACAACATTAAAGATCCAGCAGGATATTTCATTGTAGACATGGGGTACTTTTTATCCCTGTGTGCACCAAACCCATTTTGAGTG